TTTCTGTATATTTTGAATATTTTTTGTAAAAGTTAAAAATTATGAAATATTGAAATATTTAAGAAATAAAACGTTTGAAAATCATTTATTTATCAAGATAGATATTTATCTAGATATTGATTTTCATAAACTTTCAATTTTAGTATATTTAGGATATGTTTATTTGTATTAATTATTGNGATATTGATTTTCATAAACTTTCAATTTTAGTATATTTAGGATATGTTTATATGTAATAATTATTGGTTCTATTTGGCATCATAATTTTAAATAATATGTGTGTAATTCAAAATTTTTCATTTAGATTACATCATAATCCTCATGAATATAATGAAACAGATTATCTGTATCTCTAAATAAGGTATATTATGCTAATTATGGCCAAGAGCTTATCTTACACTAATTATAATATAACTCGTGTATATTGTGTATTCTGGATAACTTAGATCACCTTAACTAACTCTCTTAATTTTAGAGAGAATTGCGAGATATTTAGATATTTTCAAAGTACTAATAATTTTTTTATAAATGGAGGAATTTTCAGTGATATGAAGATTTATTCTACACTGTTTTATAGTCCTACACTGTTAGCTTTATTTTTCTGTTCCTAGTAGAATAGCAGATGTTTCTATAATTTTTATTTTTGTTAAATTGTTTAAGCTCTCTTATTGATGTAGGAGTTGTTTCTTTACTTCGTTATAAATCAAATAGCTTTATATTAGCCTTGAGTGGATGATTGAGTTGGTCTTAATAAGTGGCAAATGATGGTCTCTCTGTAAATCGTACGTTTCTTTCCTTTGGGACTAGATAGAAAGATAGTGGAAGGCCCATACTAGGCGACATAATAGGATAAAGTAAAACTTACTTATAGTATACTATATATGTAAACTGTTGTAGAATGTGCAGCGAACAATGAAACTATTTGGATGATATGAATTATAATCTGTAATATACTATAGATAATTCTTCTAGTGTTCTTTACATGCTGAAATGTAAATATTAAATGGTTACAAAATTACTTCATGTGGAGCAAAACAGAACACTTTGGCATGGGGTAAAATGGAACATCTATACAGCTGCATGTATATGTGTAAGGAAGAATGGATTTTTGTTCCAGAAATACGAAACTACATTTCAATATCAACTTATAGTATTTTTTTATCATGTTTTCTATATTTGTTGTTTTATATAATATTTTTGTTATATGTTAGAACATATAT